GTATATATATATACTTTAAATAAAATTCTCCTTTTTAATTTTATTGGTGCACTTTAAGTGCATTTATTAGTCAATTTGTATATTTACGCTTTTGTTTTGAGTTATGTCAGTTTCGGTCCTCCATACAGCAGAAGCCTGATAATCGCCCATTGAATCAAATCAGGTGTGTTTGAGCAGAGAAAAAAGGAAAACATGCAGGGCTGCGGCCCTCCAGGACCAGGATTGCCCACCCCTGTTCTAAACACAGCTTATGCTGGTTTATAAGCTTCTGCGACTGAGGCTTTTTAAAAGACTGGATCTGAAATAAAAAATGGGACAACCTAAAGAAAAGTTGCAGATAAAAATCTCTTGCGTTCTGAGTATGGTGTAAAGATAAACTCACAAAATCTGCCCTAAAAACGTCAAACATGCAAACATCATTGTACTTAGCTCTCTTTACTTTTGTTACTGGTGCTTTTTTTTGCACCGAAAAGTTAAGAAACTGCCTTTTTTTGCTAAATTATAGTAGGAATGCTGAGTGCTGAATGACGGCTGAAAGTTACAGAAGAAGCTAAAGTCAAGTTTTAAAGCTAAAAGATGCAGAACACTAGCTAAAAAAGAGGAGCTGCGAAACTATTGCTACAAGCTAATTGAAGAAAATGCTATAGATAAAAACTATAAATGTCAAAACTCTAGCTAAACTTAGCCATAGAGTTGCAAAAAGCTGCAAAGCTAAATGCTAAAATGTAGCAAAAGCCTGGCTACATGCTGAAATTTAGCAAAGGGCTAGCCTAAAGTAGCATATGGCTGAAAATATCAGACCAGCTAGAAGCTAAAATCAGCAAAAAGCTAGATAAAAGTAGTCGAATGGAAGCTATGCAAGAAGTTAGATAAAAATATATGAAAAAAAAAATCAAACAAACCAAGAAAACAATTGTATGAAATATATCAAATTGTAAATACAAACATATCACATCTTGTTGGACACCTGAACAGCTAATTTAATGGAGCCACCAGTGTGATTCTGTCAACTTTCAGTAGAACGATGGCCCTGCTGCCATCACTTGAAGCACCCATGAAGGGAGGTGCATGGCCAGATTGTGCAACCTTCTATGAGTCATTCCTGCACCCGGGGGGCAAACTTTTTCACCCAAAACCACCACAACAGCAGGTAGACTCAGGTTCTGTGTTCAGACCAGCTCTGAAACGTGCATCTTCATGCACTGCAGCGGACGCACACGGGAAAAAAAACAGAACACAAGAAAGAAAGAGAGAGAGAGAGAGAGAGAGAGAAGGAGGGAGTTTTTTGTGCTTCAGCGAAGGACGACACGAGGATTTTCTGCACAAGGAGCCTCCCCAACTCGGGGTTGTGCACGGGCTTGTTACAGCAGCATTCCTTCGCTCAGCTGCTTCTGAGCGGCACATTCCTGAAAGAGAGGAGGAGAATGGAGGGGTGAATAAAAGGAGGAGGAATAAAAGGAGATGGACAGATAAAGGGAGGGAGTRGAGAGGAGTGGGATTTATGTCTGTGGTGAAAAGTGGGAAGGACTGAAGCAAAAATAAATAATTGAATTAACGAGGGAGATGGGAATAAAAATATGATATGTAACCGATCCTTGTTGTGATAACTGGAACCTCTGGTCCTTCTTCTCCTTTGTGGAGGTCAAAGGTCAAATACAATACAGTAGTGGTTCCCAAACTTTTTATCTTCTGACCCACAAAATATCCATGGCAAAAACTTGTGACCCCAAATATTACTGGTCTGAGTACACAAACTTCGTTAATAACCCTAAAAACACAGGCTTTTCGACAATCTAAACAGCTTGTACACAAATATAAAAACTTAGTTATAC